CTTCTACAACAGCACCCTACACAGGGATGAAGAAAGCAAAGCTGAGAAGGATTCAAATCTGCAGTGAACTCAGAACAGTCTTCGAGCTCTGAAAGGAGCTTGACTAGGAGCACAGCAGCAGCCACTAGAGAGCTAACAGGGATGTAACAGTTAACAACATCAAGACAATCACATGGGAAGTCCCAACCAATTCAAAACTACCACTCCCAGAGAGAGGTAAGTTTATGCAACTTGGTTCAGAAGGCAAAGAGGGGGGAAAAAGGGGGAAACTATGAATACAGAAAGACTCTAAAGAGGAATTAATCTACAGAGATGTTGATAAGGAAGAGAGAGTTTGCGGCATGTTGAGACTTCAGACAGCACAGATACCTCCCTCCATCCTCCTTCAGATCCTGGGCTCCACGCTAAGAACAACAAAGAACAACAAAGTCTGCTGAAAATAAGCTTGTCCTAAGTAAAAAATATCCTACATATTTTTAAGGTAGCAACTGGGGCAAGTCCCAGCATTCTGTTCCCAAAAATGGACTCGAATGGAAGAGTTAGACTGGCAGCAGAAATCCCCATTTTCTGCAGTGGTCTTCAATATATGAAATCATTGCTATTACAAATGCAGACATTTAGAAGCAACTATTTCTATAAGCTCTACCTGCACAACAAGGAAAAGATAATGATAAGAAAGAAACTAATCTTAAATTCAAATACAGAGAGAAAGAAAAGATTGACAAAGAGCAATATGGAGGACGAAGGCAACATCCACTGAAATATGACAAGTTCTGTGGTCATTAGAGTTCAGGAAGAACAAGCAGTTTGAACACTGCAAATAAGATTTCAGTTGTATTCAAAAGTCCAAAGACATATTGTATAATATAGATAACTAATTCCAGGAACAGCCCAAGTGAATATTCAACTTCAACAGCTGTTATTTAATACCTGGAGCTGCAAAGTCAATTAACTTGCATCCAGAGCTCAGTTGGTCAAGGATCCCTCCAGATAGTCAATATTGATTTGAATCACTTGGCAACAATCCTCAAGATAAAGCTGATGCTCAGGTAGTATTTTTAGAAGTTTAAGACAGAGTGATCCCAATAATTACAGTCCCATTGACCAAAACAATTAACATCTCTAGACACATCTCTAGTTTTTAGTCTATTTCAATAGAGAGCTATTTTTGATCTTCACGATTTATCGGCAAATCACTGATCCAGGTTCTAGATATCAACAAGAGAAAAAATGTTAAGCAGGTCAATGATACAGAGCAGTCTCTTAAGGCCGACTGGCTTGAAGACATGGACAAAGCGACAAAGTCTCTATCCTGATTCTATCTTGGGAAACAGGACAAGTCACAAAAGATAACCAGCTGAAAGAGTCAGAAGCGCTAGCATGACTGCTGGCTGGGTAAGTGAGTGATTACCAGTTTGATGGTTCTATTTTCTTTTTATTTGGCACGATACAGCTGTTAGATGCAGTTCTAGTGGTCACAGTTCTGCGAGGATGTTGGCAAACAGGAGACAGCTTAAGTGCTGGGAGAGCAGTTAAGAGATGCAGAGCCTTCCCTGAACTTTGTTTTACTTGTTGAAAAAAAAAAAAAAGCTTAAGATTTTAGCTGATGAGCGTCACAGAACAAAGCTATCACAGCTTTCCAGCTTTGTACACGCTAATCTGGACAAGAGGCAATGGGTGGCCAAAACTAGCCTAGAAAGAGAGCTCAAGATTAAAGGTGAAGAATACTCACTACTGAATTTACTGAGACCCATAGACTCCAATTAATAGCACTTACTTTCCTAGATGACCTAGTCATCTCAAAAAACAGTTGCTTGTATCTGCGATCAAGTTAGATCATCCCAATAATCTTCCTTCTGGCCTCAAAGTAATAAAAAGCTTTCCTGCGCTGCCTGCCACCAGTAAAGAGAAAGCATAATACTAGACTTATCAACAGACCTAACAAATCCATTCGGCTCCCAACAACCTAAGGATGTGCACCATGGTTACGCAGCCACTTTAAGGAAGTCAAAAATCGCAGTGGGTGCTGTGCTGATTCAGCATTTGTGCAATCACACAGCCAAGCAGACCAGGAAACTGAGTCAGCTGAAAGCTCCTGCGCTCAGAGGGTGGCAGGGTGCAGCTCTGACAGGAAGACCCACTGCCAGGGGAACCCGGAGCTCTGCCCAGCAGAGGCAGCTATTTAGCCACAGCTTGAGGATGCCGCAGCTGCAGCCGTGCCAGGATGAGATAGTGTCGTGCCAGGAGAGGGACCTCAAACCCCTGCTGCCGGCCCCTCCTCTTGCCAGCCCGACGGCGCTGGAACCGCTGTCCCCCA